GTATACATACATCTTCTTATGCATGATGATAATAATAATAGGTATGTATATAGATTAATTACAGGTATGTATATTGATTAATTACAGGTATATAGATTGATTAATTGTCGTTTGCTTATCACTGTGAGGGATACTAAGTCCCTCCAAGAACTAGAGTGATAATAAGTGCTGTGAATGAGTGAACTTATTTGGATTCTTCAAGGTCAAATGTCAATACGTATTATTTTAAGTACTTTATATTGCTCAGTTATCAATATACTTAACATCAGCCGGTGGATATATCGTATATTGAACCAGGACAGCGGGTCGTCAGTTATCAATATACTTAACATCAGCCGGTGCATATATCGTATATTGAACCAGGACAGCGGGTCGTCAGTTATCAATATACTTAACATCAGCAGGTGGATATATCGTATATTGAACCAGGACAGCGGGTCGTCAGTTATCAATATACTTAACATCAGCCGGTGGATATATCGTATATTGAACCAGGACAGCGGGTCGTCAGTTATCAATATACTTAACATCAGCCGGTGCATATATCGTATATTGAACCAGGACAGCGGGTCGTCAGTTATCAATATACTTAACATCAGCCGGTGCATATATCGTATATTGAACCAGGACAGCGGGTCGTCAGTTATCAATATACTTAACATCAGCCGGTGCATATATCGTATATTGAACCAGGACAGCGGGTCGTCAGTTATCAATATACTTAACATCAGCCGGTGCATATATCGTATATTGAACCAGGACAGCGGGTCGTCAGTTATCAATATACTTAACATCAGCAGGTGGATATATCGTATATTGAACCAGGACAGCGGGTCGATGAGTTGAATGTAATGTGACATTATAAAAATTAACAGATCAAATTTGCAAAAAAATTAAAAATACAATAAAACGGCTTAAAAGTTATAAAACATTTCAAGATAATAAGAACAAACCATTCATATTACCTGGGAACAGTATACCTAACAATATATATGTTCCTGATATTACCTTGTAACCAAGAATGGAGTAATTCCTTTTTTTGTATCGTTTGAATATAACACTGATACATAAATATGGTTAAACTATATTTCGTTTGACTGCCACAATGAAAGTTCTGTTGACTTGTTTGATCACTTCAGCAGAACAAATAATGCAAGTCACTTCGGACAAAATGGCAGTTTATGAACCCTTCTGTCATGTGATTGTCCAAACAACAATATGGACCTGAGATTCGCTACGTTTTATACCTTGTTGGGTGTTGAGATATTTGTCACTACTTATACTATATCCTTTCTTTTCCAAAGTACTATATATAATATGTTAGTGGTTACAAAAGTTTGACAAGCTATTTTAGTCCATGTCGTAAATGACAAGAGAATTGCTGGTTTTGGAGGGTTAAAAGAATTTTAAGCTTCGGCATTTTCTTCTGCTCTGCTTCCTATGAAAGTACAATGGTTGAGCGTCAAATACGGATAAAATACACGGCCTTTGCAAATCTAACATTGTCTTTCTTTCGGTCACGGTGTTTTTTGTTTTTCATCGCTTTTTGGTTTTTGATTAGCACCTTGTACTATGTTAATAATGAAGCTGACGAGGAAATACATCGCTTCCTAACCAAAGCTATAAGTGTTATTGCCTTTTCAGCGAGTGGTCCTGACTAGCGGAACATGAACTACTCACACTATCGGAACATCTAAGTTCACCATCGTTTTTTTTTGGGAGGGGGGGGGGGGGGATTTGCGTTTCCGAATCTTTTTTTGTGTGTGCTTTGTCTTGATGTTTTGATAAGTACTTTATTTGAACCTTTTCATTATTTTTCAAATGTGAATATAATTATTAGGTCGATCAAATCTGTATGCCACTCGAAAAAATGGTCCTTTTAAACAAAAAAAAATGTATTCTTTAAACATTCTTTAATATACAATAACAATATAAAAATAAGAAGATGTGGTATGATTGCCAATGATACAACTCTCCACCAGAGACCTAATGCAATAGAAGTTAACAAATATAGGTCACCGTACGGCCTTCAACAATGAGCAAAACCCATACCGCATAATCAACTAAAAAAGGCTCCGAAATGACAAATGTAAAACAATTTAAAAGAGAAAACTAACGGCCTGATTTATGTACAAAACAATGAACGAAAAACAAATATCATATACAGCAACAAACGACAACTACTGAATTACATGCATATACAGAATGTGGCGTGGTTAAACATGTTTGGGGCACCCAAACCTAAAAGAATATATAGATTCTATGAATGCGTTTCGTTCGATTTCTGCATTCGATTTTGGATAAAAAGGACTTTATAATTTAATGGTATAATTTACTTTAATAGTTCAAAATAATGTATTGTTAATCAATTAAACTAAGTTACATTTTAGATTCATTTCAAGTTATATGAAATTCAAGGTCTCTTTTCTTCGATGTATGGTCACAAATGAGAGGAAATCATAACTAATTTATATTTATATTAGAATAAGGAGAAGTGGTATGATTGCCAATGAGACAACTATCAACCAGAGAACTAATGACGTGGATATAATCAATTGTAAAAGCCTTCTTTTCAGGCCACCTACAGACCCACCAAATAGTTGTTGCAATGGTTCCTAAACATGTAGAGAGCGTGGCACTCACCCTTCACGAGGCATCGGATTAAACGTCCCCATTCCTACTGCATGTGACTACGTATATCCAACACAACCAACCGGACACTTCCATTTAGCATGAATTTTACTGAACAAGTGGAGTCCAGTTAATCATATTTCTATACCCCAGTCAACTTTTTGGGTACCATTTTGACACCATTGTGTCAGAGGGGTCAAAGTCGTAGTTTCTAACAGATTAAAATAGTTCGGAAAACGTGTTTCTGAATTTTAATCCATAAAGTGCAGCATATGTTATAACATAGTTCCAAATGGGAGAAATATTCTGAAATATTGTTTCCACTGGAAGAAATGTTAATGACTCTGTTCCTTACGGGAAATGTACCAATTTAGCTCATTGGTAGATAATGTTAGAGTCTTGATACTGCCTTTCTACAGGTACATGTTTGTGAGCCTCACATGAATTATTAAACAGTATTATACCACTATTATATATTAACTATTATGCATGTATTTTCTGTTCACTTTTTCCTCATTCACGATGAAATTAACCCTATGTTGCTAGAATTAAATCTATTTTGTATTCACGAATTTCTCATTCAAGGTTAAATCGTTCTAGTTCTTACTTAAATCGAGAAAAAATATAAATACCAAAAGAATTTATATGTGTTCTAGTATTTAGAGAAATTATCAATACCATAAGAATTTATATATGTTCTAATATTTATTCAAAATGTCATGAGTTGCAACACTTCTTCTCTCCGATGATATAGGGAAAAGAAAAAAATTGACTCGATACGACTTGTTTTATTTCTCTCTATGCCACTTGTTTTATTTCTCTCTATACCACTTGTTCTATTTCTCACTATACCACTTGTTTTATTTCTCTCTATGCCACTTGTTTTATTTCTCTCTATACCACTTGTTTTATTTCTCACTATACCACTTGTTTTATTTCTCTCTATGCCACTTGTTTTATTTCACTCTATACCACTTGTTTTATTTCACTCTATACCACTTGTTTTATTTCTCTCTATGCCACTTGTTTTATTTCTCTCTATGCCACTTGTTTTATTTCTCTCTATACCACTTGTTTTATTTCACTCTATACCACTTGTTTTATTTCTCTCTATACCACTTGTTTTATTTCTCTCTATACCACTTGTTTTATTTCTCTCTATACCACTTGTTTCATGTCTAGTGTTTCCCCCCGTATTTTTTCACTTTCACGTTAATTGTATGTCGTATATCTGAGTCAGTGTTACTCACCGACACGTGATTGTTGATTTGTATAACGCCCCGCTTAAAAAAATAAATTCACTATAACTGACAAATTAAATAATTTGAAGTGTTTAAGTATATGTAAATTTATTTAAAAGCCTCAGACAGCTAAGGATGTCTAAAATAAACACTCAAACACTTGACAAGTTTATAAATATTTCAGAATAAAAAACTTAACAAATTAGCACAGTTGGTTTGGTTGACATTAGTTTTTATGCACTACAGTTAACACAACAACTTCACACACATTGCCTAGTCATGCAGGTTTATATTCAGCTTAAACTGTTATAATCACTACAAAAAGTTAAATGGTCGCCATCGTGACTTTTTCGATCCTCCTGCAACGGGTTTATCACGATTGAGATAGACAGAAGTATATACAAACATGTCCAGTTTTCCATTCCAAACAACCTGAAATGTCAACACAATTGCTTTGGTACCTTATCAAATTATTGAACGATTGTTGGTTTTTTAACGCCACTCTCATCACTATTGGTTAAATCCTAGCAGTGGTGGAGGAAACCAGAGTGACGGAGAGAACCACCGACTTTCGACAAGAAAACTGATAATCATAGTTAATTAAGATTGGAGTCGAAAACACCTCCCCCGTTTCGAGTTCGAACTCACAACCTCAGTGTTGACTAAGCTTACCTTTGTTGTTGTTTCGCTCTTATCTACACAAACGCCACCGAAGTCCCTCCTATACTTGTAACAAGATGTGTTGTGTACTGTAAATGTTTTGGAGAATAAGCTTTCTTTTGCATCTCCTTCTAAGAATTAAATCTATACAAGATACTCAACGAGACAACTTGCCATGAAATGCTAGATTTTATCTTAATCCAAATTAATTACTGGTCACGCCAAAATAGGAAAGAAAAAAGTATCATGGTAATGTATATTTGTATAAGATTAGAACCTGAGAACACCTTATATAGATCATTCGACTGCAGCAACCTTCGTCTTATCAATAATTGATAAGTCCAGAATCTTTATAAACTTTATTGAAACATTAAATATATAAATAGTAGATTACCATATGTGTTGATCAATATCGCCGCGGCTTATACGTATCTATTAAATCAATAGTTAAAATATGAAATACCTGAAAACTGCTGGCAGAAAAAACGTGTCGTGCTGAAAATGACATTTTTATCAATATCGAAAAATTGTCTGATTTCATTTCGAAAATATGCAAGTGTATAGAACGGTTTAATTGTATTTTAACAGGTGTTTTTATTAGCTCAATACATTTGTAATTTAGCTGTGTCACACCTAAGAAATAATTTCTGGAAATATTAGAAAGCGTACTTAGACAACAATCTACTGTGAAAACGACATCGAATAACGAAAAGTAACATAAGACGTCTTGAGATTAATGACAACGTGTAATTTCCACTATCGCTTTTCATCGACCCACAATACCATTGTTAGTTGACAATAAAAATATTGGGAAAAAGTTTGTGGTGTTGCCGCGCCGGAAGTTACTTATGTTGCAATTTTTAATGACACCTGTTACTCAAATAGCAATCTTCAAACGCATGCGTCAAATATTCTGAGAAATCAACCAGTGACTTTTACAAAAGTGTGACAGAACATCAAAACATGGCTGATGCTAACAAAAAGTCAACAAACTTTCTTAGGCAATTTAGAGATTTGAAAACTAGGGAATTTAAACAAATCACTGCCGCACAGTTTATGGATGTTTGGAACCATTATGATGATGACGGTAAATCTTTTTATTAATTTTTGAAATTAATCATTTTCAGCCAGTTTTAATAATTAGATATAGAAAGTCAATAAAGATGTCTCTGTTCACCTTGCAAATATATTATATTGACATATTATATAGGTAACAGTTGGCCAGGACTAAAACACATAATGATATGTTCTGTGTCGGGAAAAATATAAATACAAATTATTACACACATTATACAAAATAAAATTTATTGCATGATTATTATTTTTATTTAAGCTAAAAAGAATCTGTTTATAGAGTTACCCCTTCATCTACTCTTCCAACTGCACAAAATTCTCAGTGTGAATTACAGAGTAATCCCTTCAACTACTCATTGACCTACATAATATCCTCGGTGTGAAATATTGAGTTGTCCCTTCAACTACTCACCCAGCTGCATAATACCCCGTTGTGGAATATAGAGTTAACCTTGCAACTATTCAGCCAACTGCATCATTTTCCCGATTTGAAGAATATTGCATGATGATCTTTTAAATTAAGCTAAGAGTTTTGCAGTGTTTATTGCGTTATTACTACAACTACTCTTCCAATTGGATAATATCCCGCGATGAAGTAAAGAATATCCATGCAACTACTCATCCAACTATATAATATCAATGTGTGAAATACAGAGTTATCTTTGCAACTACTCATCCAACTGAATAATACCCCCGGGGAGAAGTATAAAGTCCCTTCAACTACTCATCCAACTGAATAATATCCCCGGGGCGAAGTATAAAGTTATTCTTGCAACTACTCATCTAATTGAATAATATCCCCGGGGTGAAGTATAAAGTTATCCCTTCAACTACTCATCCAACTGAATAATGTCCCCGGGGTGAAGTATAAAGTTATCCTTGCATCTACTCATCCAACTGAATAATATCCCCGGGGCGAAGTATAAAGTCCCTTCAACTACTCATCCAACTGAATAATATCCCCGGGGCGAAGTATAAAGTTATCCTTGCAACTACTCATCCAACTGAATAATATCCCTGGGGTGAAGTATAAAGTTATCCTTGCAACTACTCCTCGACCTACATGATATCCCTGGTGTTAAGTTTAGAGATATCATTGAAACTACTCATCACACTGCAAAATATCAGGTGTGGAGTAAAAAAGGTAACATTGCAACAAATTATCCAACTGCATAATATCCCCGGTGAATTATAAAGTTATCCCTACAGATACTCATCCAATTGTATAATATATTGGGTATTAAAAATATAGAGTTATCCCTGCATTAACTCGTCAAATTGCATTATAATGAGTCACATTCGTCATCAAACAATGGTAGATTTATTAGTAAAAGACTTTCAAACTTGATAGCAGATTATATTGCATTGGTTTAATTCTAAAATAATTTCGATTATAGTAGAATTTGATATTTATTAGAAATAACGATAACTTTATCTTTTTTTCATGAATCCCTTACAACAGAGGTTGAGCTGTTGTAATGTTATTGCAATGTTTAATTTCAAGCAAGACTATTTTTTTTAAGATATAATGGCTCTAAAGTTTAATAAAATAAAATAAAGGTATACGTAAAGCAAAAGATAATAAAATATATAAATTAATAGCAAGTTATGTAACATAACACATTCCTGCACTTATAAAGCGCTGAATTTGTTTGAATTTTTCTTTTCTTTTTGTAACTCCAAGTGTATCATTTTAATTCGTATTACGAATCCCAATTTTATAGTCAATTTAATTGGCATTACTATAAAAAGGTTGCTTTTGTCATTTAGTATGGGGACGTGAAAAAATGTGATTTTTGTTTACACATGATTAGTGTTAAAAAGAAGACACGGATAATACACATATTAATGAGTGGTATCATCTGGCTATCCAGCATTATGAAAATATCCTGTTATCCTCCCTGTGATATTACATCTGTGATGAACCTTTCCTGTTTCTGGTAGAAACGATCTTCATCATTTTAATGACTGTATAGATTTTGTTTTAAAGCTGTCAATGGTTATTTTCTGAATCATTTGGTATTGTATTTTATGCAGTGCATTCAAAATCTACCCAACAGAGTGCAAGGTTTTACTTCTTTTTACGTTGCCATGGTAAGAATTATCTCTAGCCCATTACATCGAATTTTTATATAAATATTCTTTATATCAAATTTTTACAATATTCTTTTGAAATATTTGAAATGATATAATATTGTTTTAATTATTAAAAGCTGTACTTTCATACACTTTTATCAATGACTTAGTCATAAAGCTTTTTTGTAAATCTACACAGTTGCTTATTCTACATGAACTGAATTGGGAAAACAAATAAATATAATAAAGATGTATTTTCTGATATACAACTATGATGACATATTGATTTTAAAGTTTACAGACTCCGTTGTGAATTGTCACTTATTAATCAATTTGTTGTAACTATCAAATCCCATCAAAAAGTTGTTGATTTCAAAACAGGTAAATATTTTAATAGAATTTCTAAATATTTAACAAGCAATACTATTAACATTATTTTAGATTATGAATTAACTATGAGTTCGATGAAGGCATATTGATGAAGTGTTTTAAATCTGAAAATCCTGCATGTATACTTTTAGTATTTTTTAATGATTTTGATCTTATATGTTTAACCCAGTTGTAAAAATATGCCGATGAATAGAAAACTATGATTTTCGGACTAAGATATCTATTGTCTGACTAGAACAAGTGGAAGATGAATCGCTTATATTTCATATTTGTCATCAATTTTACCAGTTTGGAAGTTTTGTGCTTTTTATTACCAGCTGGCATTGCATTTTTTAAGAACTAAATCATTATGTTAAGCCATCTATTGCTTCTTGATGGCTGTTTACCTATAGTTCAACTATTGCTTCTATTGCATCGTTTATTTCTGGTAGGTTTTGAATTTGACTCAATAAGATTTTTGGCTGCAAGACATTATACATCTGTCAAAAATTTAGCAACATTTATAAATATAATTTCTGGATCGCTTTATCAAACATTAGAGACAACAGTAGTTTACCGATGTTCAAATATCTCATCCAAATCAAGGTAACAAAAAAGGGGGGGGGGTGTTCCAACCATATGTCCTCATTCAAAAGCATTGATCATAAAAAAGGGGGTTCCAACCCCAAGAACCCCCCCTTTTCCCCCTGGATGCGCCACTGCATGCATCATCCGCCATGCGAATCCATACTCAAAATGTCGCAATCGCGAATAGGACACAATCAGTGAATTTTCCGATCAGACGATTTTTCCACTTATCTAAGACCGCGAAAACCTGTCGCTAGTGACTTAAGACACAGACACATCGTATCAGTGAACCAATTCGTGATGTTACCAACACGTAAAACAGTGCACCTTATATAAAAGACTTCCAAATAAAGTAAAGTTCAACAGCTTCAATAGATCATTTCCATGTGGAAGTATCAATTGAGGTGTTGCTGGAGGTCATCCATAAACAAGTTTAATGCAACAATCCAGGTGGATTAGGATCCCAGTTACAGGACACCAGTACAAATGAAGTCCATTAATAAATCTACCATCTTTTTAATGGGATATCGTACCGAGATGAAAATTATGTAAAGATGCTTTAATTTATTATATATCTAAAGGGTATTCATTGAACTTTCAACTTCTGTTAAATTTTAAGTGATTCTGAAATGTATAGGGTGGATGATTGTTTTGAGTAAATGGTACAATTTTTTTATTATTTTCGATTTTAACCAGATAATAAAATGACCCTATTAATACTCAGTATTGCTCCCTAAAGTGCCGGTCATGACCCTTCAAGAATTCTCCATGAAACCATGAAGGGGGATGCTAGGATGAGAAAGTAATTGAAATTTTGCAGTCTAATACAGGGAATAAAAAATCTGCCCATCAGTTATGATGAAATTGCAATGAAGTAATGGGCGAAATATTTGGGTCCCCGTTCCAGGTATATTGAAGAAAAATCAGACGAAGATAATGTTCTTACAAATCTTTCATTTGACGAACTAAAATATCACATAACAGAATCAAATCAAAGACAGCACTGCTGAAAGATATGCATGTTTGATGTAAGAGAATCATTAATATTGTTTATACTTGAAAATAAAAGTCGATTTTGTAGCAGAAAGTTAATCAATTTTGATATTAAGGAAAACACTAAGATCAAAGGAGATAATGAATGAATACAAGGATGAAAACTCATTAATAAGTATGATCGTTATCTTGTTTATTTATATCCGGCTACTTGCATCTACCACTGACCTTCAACAATGAGACGTTATAGAGAGAATTTTTGTAATAAACGTTAAAAAAATGCACGATGGAGTAATTTGAAAAGCTCAATGATTTTGTATTAATTTATGACAATGTACAGTCGCATTTATTTTGAACGTTATCTCATCGTCAACTGAAGCCTTCAACATGAAGCAAAAGCTCACATGTCAGTACGAAAGTTCATGACGAACCCATTGTGAAAGTTATATTAGTAGTGGAAAATTATATTCCATAAAAAGAAAACAAGAACACCCCATTAAGATATAAAAAAAAAAACAGCAGAAAAGAAAAGAAAAAAATAGGAAAACGAAAAATAACTTGATAAATTCTGGTTTGAAGATTACCGTTGGAAATTTTAACACCAAGGCTCATTCACTATTGTTCATAGAACTAATATAGCAAATATGCTACAGAGGGACCTTCTTATGTAATAACCAATCGTTTGACGGTATACTTTGTCTCCAACTTGTACGATTCGCTCGTGTATGCAACAACGTATTAGATTTTAGCGAGAGAAATTTATGTATTACTGAAAAATTATTACACCAGGGTTTTCGATATCATAAACTAGTCAAAACATATACTAAATTTTATCATCGGTATAAGGACATCATTCGTAAATATAACTCAACATGCAGACATCTTATACGTTCGGGTATTTCACATCCAATCTTTTATGGTAATATTTTTTACAAAGCACAAAAATGTCAGTATTCACCTCAAAAGCTAACAAAACCTTTAAACAGACTTATTTAGAAGGTATATATTTACGATACTGTTGTCAGGTCATTAAAGATTGCATATTTTGGCTTTAATATTGATTCACTTATAGGGTCTTTGCATCGGAATTAAACATATTTATTCTAAAACCAGTTGTTGGCATGACACGGGTTATGTTCTTCTCATATATTTTATGATGGTATAATACTAAACCCCTAACAGGAGGGATTGTGCCTGATATTCATATGATGAAGACATAATCTTTCAATCAGTTTAATTGAGGTCTGGAGCTGGCATGTCAGTAACTGCTAGTAGTCTGTTGATATTTATGTATTATTGTCATTTTGTTTAGTTTCTTTTGTTTCCTATTCTGACATCGGACTCGGACTTCTCTTAAACTGAGTTTTACTGTGCGTACTGTTGTACGTTTGTTTTTTCTACATTGGCTAGATGTATAGGGGGATGGTTGAGATCTCAAAAAACATGTTTAACCCCGCCGCATTTTTGCGCCTGTCCCAAGTCAGGAGCCTCTGACCTTTGTTAGTCTTGTATCATTTTTAATTTTAGTTTCTTGTGTATAATTTGGAGTTTAGTATGACGTCCATTATCACTGAACTAGTATACATATTTGTTTAGGGGCCAGCTGAAGGACGCCTCCGGGTGCAGGAGTTTCTCGCTGCATTGAAGACCCATTGGTGGCCTTCGGCTGTTGTCTGCTCTATGGTCGGGTTGTTGTCTCTTTGACACATTCCCCATTTCCATTCTCAATTTTATATACATTAACGTTAAGCAAGAACTAGTCGAGATAATCTTGTTATTGCACTAAAATATCACACGATTCTCTTCGCACATATTCATGTTAATTTGTCTTCACAACACATATTTTGTGTCTGAGTGTAAATAAAGAATTGAATTGAATTGTTAATTACTATTCTGTTGCGTAATAAATTTGTATTTTCAAAAAATAAATATTTGTGGCTTTGTTCTGTGGACGAAATCATATTACAAGTATCTGTATTTCATCAATGGTAAAAATCATTCACCTGACGCTTTCAATTATTTCAATCAATATATATTAATAACTTTTTGAGTGCAAAAATCCAGCGATATGTTCTATGAATTATGATTTTGGTATCAGAATACAAGATTTTGATGAAATATTTATGACTTGACTGACATTTCAACTAAATGATAAAGACATAGCGTGTATATACCGTTTTTGCAAAAAAAGTGTCTTTTTAAGCACATAAATTCAATAAAAAGATATGATTCTGTAAATGGTTTCAATATCCAATATTAAAAGTCGCTCTTATGGATTGAAGATGGGTGAATAAAACGTTTTACTTAAGTAATTTCAATTCAATTCAACCTTTTCCTCTAAAAATGAAATACCATATTTGTTTCTAAGAAGATGTTTCGGAACTTCTTTTTACATATTTCTTATGAAATTAGAGTAAACTGTAATGAAATTTGTACTCAATAGGACCCGTCTTACTCTGCTTCATGCACATTTGCTGTAGATTAATAAAGAAAAATCGAATAATATAGTAGAAATAAAACCAGTAGATTAAAAAATCTAGTATTTTGAAAGTAAAACAGGTAGTTCTAAAATAAATATTTCATAAATATCCAATAGAATTTTGAAAGATTCATCGTCTACATGAATTAATAACATAGATAAAAGGTGAAACCCGAAGTTTTTAACCCCATGACATGGAAGGCGAGTAGTTTACTAGCAAATGTACGGTATGAATTATTTTAGGTACTCTGTTGACTAATATGTACTTAAAAAAAATCTAATGTTTTAAATAGTATTAGTTTATGGCTTGCATAACGGTTTGGCCTCTATCGCATCCGGTGAAGGTTATTCGAAAACACTTGTCGTTTTCATCATAATACGCTTATAATTAAATATTGTTAAATCTAATTTTTTTAGTCCTTTTTTAAAACTTGCATTAACAAGTATTTAAGACGAGAAAAGCGCTGATTTACAATTCTCCATAATATATAGCATTGTTTGAATGATATAATATAACTGAAAAAAAAAACAAAAAAAAAAAAAACACCGCATATAGGGTTTGATAGGTAGTTAAAATAGGTAGTCAAAATCAGCTGTCTATCACGAAAATAATGCTCTTGAGATTTGTATAACGACTTCTGAAATTTTTATAGAAACATCTGAATCTGAAAACGTTAAGATTTTATTGTTTTCCAGATGTTTGCTTATTCTAAATTCAGTACAGTTCAGACTTTTTCCTGGCAATTAAATTAGTATTGTTTAGAAGTGTTTTAGTACTTTATTGTTTTGTACAGGTAAATAGCAACTACTGAACAGTCTTAACATAGACTGAACAGTTCTTAATTGACTGCAATCGAACTGTCTGAACAGTACTGAATTTACAGCAGTGGATGACAATTGACCGAAAGACTGACCCTGATTTAATAATTTATTGTTCAGTGTTTAAAGAGACATTCAGATAAAAAAATTCAATTTAAGTTCAAAATTGGTTTACTACATGTAGTGATGCATTTCACATGTTGACAATGGTAAACATCAATGAGACAGGAACAAAACAAATTTAACATAAATAGTCATCTGAAGGTCTTCATACAAATGCCAATGATGCCATATGTCAACTTTCAATGATATGATCACAACATCCGGTTTCGGGTAACGAATCACAGATTCTGAAAGAAATCATAATTAAATTTCCTTGTAACAAAATAATCACTCCCGCAATATGACGTTCCCTTTTGTAGAGATTATTGACCTAAATATTGATTATGGTATAGACATAAAACCGCCTGAAATTCTCTTGTACTACACACTGAAGGAGCATATGTGCGATATATACACGGGTACGAGATCTTTAGATCCTGGATAACGACATTTTGCAACTTTTAAGATAAAGAACAGCAATAAAAACGATGGTCCACCGATATATTTTTTAATTTCTAGTACAGTATGCACATTCATTTCATATAATTCGTTCCAATATAAATCGCTTGTAATATAGAAAATTTTTGAATTAGAATATAACAAAGACCATTCTACGTTTGTTTATTTCAGGAAATGGTTATATAGAAGGGAAAGAACTTGATGGGTTCCTTGTAGAACTTGTAACAAGTATTAACAAGGAAGATGTCGGTCCTGAGGTAGGAAATCATCATCATCAACATCATCATCATTGCTGTCGGTCTCAAGTTTTTTGTTGTGTTTGTTGTACTTTGGTGATATTGTTTCATCAAACTACATTGTCTACATATTGGTTAATAAAAAACTTAATAATAAAGGAACAATTCACTTCTCTCTTAAGTAGACAAACATTCTGTTGAAATACAAATACATGTAATAGGCAAAAGAGAAATTAAGCTACCAGTAACATCATGGCAGATAAAACGTCATGTTTTACGTCGACAGTTTTTCTACCATTTAGTAGACAGTATGCCTTCATACCCTCCCCCTCCAAAAAAAATAAAAAAATAAATAAAATGCCAAAAACTGTGACATTGAAACCGGATATACCTTCATAACTTTCAATGGCAGAATACATCTTAGCATCTAACTATGCCAAAAACACTGTACACATTGAAAACCGGATATACCTTCATATCCTTCAATGGCAGAATACATCTTAGTATCTAACTATGCCAAAAACCCTGTACACATTGAAAACCAGATATACCTTCATACCTTTCAATGACAGAAAACAACATGGCATCACAATGCCAAACACTCTGTAAATATTTAAAACCGGATACGATCATGCCATTAAACAATTAAAAACATCTTTTCAATGGGATTAGAGTCCTTTTATGTACGTTGTGTAATCCAAAGCGATCATACAATATCAAAATCCAATTGCCATATCGTGATGCTGATGACTAGTAATTTATAATGCAGACAATGCAATCAAAATAGTTATAGAGAATCTTCACTAATTAGTGAAAATATCTGAACTTTTACGACAAAACAGTATTATATAGTGGTTCTATTATAAACATTTGTGAACTGTTATCGTGTGCAAGATCAAAATGGATTTGTTACTATTTCAAACAATAGATACAAAGGTTTTAGAATCAATATTTGATAGTATTAGTGACATGTGACATATGATCTGGTATCATGGTTTTATATATGCTCAATAGGAGACAATAGTTATGTTCAGGTATCACGGATTTCTTTGCATTAATTTTTAAAGGATAATCATCCTCGATATTTCCATCAATAATGTAGAAGGAATCCATACAATAGATATACAAGAAAGTGTAAAAATGACGTCATTTGAAGTACATGTACATGTATCAATAATATCATATGAAAAATTGTGAACATGAATGTAAGTTATCCTCTTATAATGAGGAGTATATATATTCTAAATAATTGAGAGTTTAATAATCAAGTTTTATTTGTTTGTGTATAGGGATTGATTTTCTGCATAGACGATTTTTACTATGATCACTAGAAATCATGCGTACATGTGTATTGCAGCACATTTCAAACACATATTGTTCAATTTTCAGAAGAAACTAAATGGTTGCAACACATTTTTTGGGTGAAATATGGCATTATTAAATCATTGAACTAACAAATAGAATATTTGTTTGATTAAAAACTGTAGAAGAGTGACTGGAAAAATCCAACACTGTGTGGATTTCCACAATTATGTTCATTAACATTTGATTAAACGGCATATTTTGAAAATGAAGGACCAGGATTGCTCCTAGTAAAAACCTTCCCTCCCTTGAATCCCCCCCCCCCCCAAAAAAAGCTTCTAATGACCAAATAAATACATCTTGCACTCACAGCTCTGTCTATCAATAAAAACAAACAATGGCATATTCAAGCCGCATATAATAATAAAAATAAACCACAACCAACCGAAATACATGGATGTAATCAGTTATTTCACGATTTTTAATATTTGCAAACAATCTTTTAGAACCACTCTGTAAAAACGAAAACTATGTCCGATATTATGGCATTGTTATACAACTTAATATCAATCTTGACACCTACAGGAATTCAAGGACTACTTTTCTCTTTTTGAGCTAATTGCCTTGTTTTAATACATCGGTCTTGTCAATAATGATAAGTTAATCGATAGCGCAAAAGAACTTTTGTCAAAAGTCATTCTAATTACGGACACCAATAAGTGTGCTTGTTGCTATATTGTACAATAATTACTAAGGCTGTTGATTAAAGGTTAACGACACAGCTCAATTTTCTACTTCAATATGATTCTTTTGGGGGATAGTTAAGTTAGTTATTAGCTCCAGGGAGAATGGAATGTGATTTATATTTTTATTTTTAAAAAGAATGGGCAATAAAACAAATATCAGATTCCTATTGTAATAAAATGTATAAATGTTATGTTGGTTCTGCCATGTGAGTAATTCCCCTGGTTCTGTCAAATGATTAACGTTTATATGGCATGCACAATAATAGTTCTGTGCGCCAGCTCTTCTGGCTGTCGACAGACTCCCATGAGAGCTGGCATGGTTAGGTTGACTCAGTGTGGAAAACTAGCATGTTGCAATGCCTGGAATGGCAAATGACGCTGCTGTCGGTACGTGTAGAGGCATGCCGGGATCGACAACATATGATCTAAACAGAATTTTATATGTCCGAAATCTGTCACTATATTCTTCTCAAATAAAGCTCCGTACAACCATCATATCTTTTTATTTACTAAATTGTATTCGATTACGGAACAACAGATAAACAATACTTTTACATAATCATGATAGAAACGTTTATTTGAAATAAACTGACTTAAATGAAGAAAATAGAGACCTATTTCAATATATTTTGTATTTAAAAAAAAAAATCGTTGAAACTAAGATAGCTAACGTATGTTTAACTTTCAACGAATTTTCCTAATTTGTTCTGAATTTAGATTCAATGTATATTTCTTTCACGAACCCTAAATTGATTCTGCTTTGACTATTCAAAACCACAGTCTGTTCATTTGCATTACCGTTTGAGAAACCTTATCGCCAATAGTTAAAATTGGTTGGTTCTGAATGTGTTTTTGTCTATTAATGAGGATAACGGATCTGTTGTTGTCTCTAATCAATTTATTCACAACATTTCTAGATACACACCGATTGAAAGTTTGAAAAATGATATGGCACTTCCTATTCTTGGTGACCATATGTTTACCTCTAGAGTCTTTTAGTGTTGTTTGATTGCTGTTGCATTGCTTTATGATATTTAATACCTCCTTTTATAAGTATCGAATTTTCAACCAGACCAACAGTTTTATTCTCTGGCGTATTGACGTTTTAATTTGTGGAAATATGATCTTTTACTAATGTTGAAATACGATCTTTTACTAATGTAGAAATATGATCATTTACAACATGTACTTATGTAGAAATATGATCTTTTACTAATGTAGAAATATGATCTTTTACTTGTGCAGAAATATGATCCGAACATAAACATGATATTTTATTGTGTTGGCATATATTTTTTAACTGTTAACAAATTTGTTATTCAATTCCCTCAGTTAACTGGAAATAAATTTACACCTAAAGAAACGAATGATTTGCTCTCCCAATCGAAGCTTTCCACTTACAGAACAGTTACTATGACTCTTTTCACATTATAATTTTAGAACCATTTCAGGAACATCTTCTGAATCCATACTGGCGCAATTTAAGTGCGTAAAGTTACTTAGATCCCTAAAGGTGAATATAGAATACATAAATAAAAAGATACATATATGTCTCTTTTGGCGATATTTAATTGTCGGAAATAGGAAAACCTTGCATCAATTTTATTATTTTAGGAACAAAGTTTATTTGTTTTTGACAATTTTCATAAACAGGCATAAAATCAAGTGAGTAGATAACCAACAGGTATATTGTTAATCAAAAATTTCTTGCGAATGTCTTCCAGTATTTATTGCATAATTTTAATATTGAATTTAATTCGCAAAATGCTACACTTATATTGTAACAAATCACAAATGTTTGTTAGCGATACTGAATAATTGATGTGAGAATTAGTTTTCCTCGTATATAAAACAGTTTAATTGTATGATTAATATATATTCATATTTTGTAATGCTAAAGTAAAAAGCTTATGGTAACATTGGTACAATTTCTAAGTATGTTTTAATAGGACACACTTGAAAACTTGAAATCTGATATTACTTAAAACTTCAATCGGGACAAACCTATTGAAGAGATCATTTGAAGGCATTAAAAATGACACTTTATAAATTTGGTGCCTCTAAAGCATTTTTTTTCTGGATTCATTTTTATCAGAATTTAAAAGCCGCGGCCTTATAACTACTCAAATACATGATGAGTCATACATTAATAGGGACCTTATCATAAAGGTCAAATCCACCAAAACTCAACATTATCCGAGTGAGATTGAACCTTAGATTCTTAAATTTTTCTTTTCAAAATGTTTAAACAGAAAATTTATTAAAGTTACTAGTATGTTATAAATCATGTCATTACCATAGCACTTACAACTGAACTGATGATACGCTCAAGGAGAAACTATCCATCAAGCCGCGGTATATACCCAGTGCTAGAAAATTAAAATGACGTTTTATGAATTTGGTTCACCCGGAGCGTTTCTGGCTTTCACTTCAGCAGGAACTACAAACCAATATTTAAAAATCCAAGCATGTATTACTACATGTACCTAAATATAGGAGTGCTACATGATCAAAATGGACATAAACAGAAAAGCTATATCCATTTTAGGTAAGATTGGCCCGTAGTGTCTTTTTAAATTTAAGAAAGGTTTGTTATAGGCACTGACTACTGAGCTTACGATACCCTCGGTACTTGCATTCCATCATCTTAAATTACAAGTTGTTAAAAATAAAGCTCCAATTTGTCTTGATATTATAATATAGGAAAATGAAATATATAGAAGTTGGAATTCTATTGAATACAATTTACTAAGTAGCGTTTTCTCTATTTGTCATTGTTGTGTGTTTTGACCTGTTAATAATTCATCATTGTAACACGTACATTATATTTGCTTTGGAGTAATATAAAAAAATCTGATTCCCAAGTGATTTTTCAAATTCCCCTTATTTGGATAATGTAATTGAATTACAAGAATTATCCTTCGTATTAACATGTTTATTCTTTTGTAAACAGTGAGAAATGAATTTTTTTAT